CAGCCTGAAGCCAACATGCACTAGCCTTGTGACCTCAGGAAACTCACTTAAATGCTCTGTGCCTCAGTTTCCTCCTGTGCAAAGTGAGGAGAGTAATGGCACCTCTCCCCTAGGGTGGTGGTCAGGAGTAAGTTAGTTCTCAAAGCAAAACATTTACAACAGCATGGACCCCAAAATTAGTTTTCCTTATACCGGTCATTTGTTATTGGAAGGGAGAACATGGAGTTCTTTTTGATTATATATTTTTTAGGATCTTGAGAAAATAACAGTAAAGGAGATGGATCAAAAAAGGAAAGATGAATAGGAAATAGCAACTACAATTTGGTAGCATTTATGTAAAAGACAACATCAGTGCAATATCTCATTTGCTGTTGTAAGAAAGGTGTTCTTATTACTCATTTCCAGATGAGGGAGCTATGCTCAGTGGTTCGCTGATGTGCCCACAATCACACAGGAAACTGGAACCCACGTCTGTCTGACTCCAAGATCACACACTCCAACCTCAGCACTAAACGACCCGCTGTGAATAAGAGGGAAACAAAGGGGAGAAAGGGAGGCAAACAGACTGATGGAGAGAAGGGGGCTGAAGTATCATCTATGTTTTCAGCCTTGAGCTGGGACTTCTTTCCATAAGGCCATCAGCAACATTTCATATCAGGATGGTAACAATGAAATGTGACATCATTCTCACTGCTGGCACTCAAAGCTCTCGTTCATCGTGCGTTGGAACATTGTATAAGCATATGTGTATTAGTGACTTTACTTAAATGCTTCTGGGAGAGCATTAAAATGTTGGATGAATGCAAGCAAATCCCCAAACACTGCACAGAGTAAGTAGTGTACAAAATGTTGGGATCGGTACCCAGACCGAGTATAGCTCACCATTGTTTACGTCCATAGAAACCCATCTCTCCATTTAGAGAGCCATACAGCGGTCCCCAGTGTGTGTATTACTTTCCCAAACTCTGCCAAGTGAAATGCTCACATCCCCTTTGACTGCACAGACTCCGAAAACCCAGCTGTCTCCACTTAGGCAGCAACAGGCTCTCCGAAAGACAAGCTCGATGTATCTTTCGGGTCAAAGGTTTGCCTGGTGCGCCACCCTCTGCCCCGTTTTTTATTATCATGGTCCTTGCCCTACTCCCCTTAATTGTAGGTTTAGAAGGGGGATTAGATCGGCCGATCTCATCCCCCTTTGGCTATGGCCATTGTTCATGGCTCCACTGAATGAAGGAGGACCGTCTGAAGGGAGGACCCATGGCTGTATGTCACATGCCTCCAGTTCCCCTCGTCTCAGCACAGCCACGATTCCCGCAAACTCAGTTTTGCCAGAAGACAAAGAGTCCTTCCTTAGTTGCCTATCACAAGGCTGTGCTAGTTGAAGGAAAGCAATTAGTTTGGTAGTGTTTCCCGATCAGATGGATAAATGGGACTTTTCCATTTTGCTGGTACAAAGTATGTCTAAAATATAAACTGTCCTTAAGTCACCCTAATCTGAATGAGCCTGAGGCTGAGATGTCTACACTCACTCTCTGACAGCAAACGTTTTCAGGTCCATTTGTTGACCCTCATTCCATCTGTATGCGCGGTGCAGACCTGGTCCAGAACTTAGCGTGAGAAGAAAAAATCCTATCACCAGGGAGTCTGAATGTGATCGGTGAGCCGCGCCTCTCTGTTACCCACGGAGGAAAGAAGGCTCATCAGATGCTCCCCCAGCCGTGATTAGAGGTAAGCAGACGAATGAGAAGACTGAGTCAGTACAGTTATTGAAATAAGATTCATTGGAGGCTGGCACCCAGACTCTGCTCAATATGGTTCAGTTCTGCAGGGTTGGGGAGAGCTCAGACATTTCTGACACTATTTTTTTTAACATCAGCATGTGCTGACTCTGCAGAGTGAAAAGGAACCAGCTTGGCATCTCAGAATGCTGAGTAGAGCTTGGGACAGAGAGGCTAGAGGCAAGCAACGGGCAGAAGCCCCTCAAGGCCGTAGCATCCTCAACTGAGATTCCACCTGCAGGGTCATATCCCATAACCTTCCTGGCCAAATACTCCTCCAGGGCTGGTTGCTAAGTTAGCAGCTCCGGGGGGGGGGGGGGGGCGGGGGGACAATACAATGAGTTTGGAGGTTTGCTGTCAGCAGACCTGACACTCCATCATCTCCCCTCACAGAAAACTCTGGTCAATGTCCCAGTGCCTTTTTTGGTTCCGCTGTACCCTCTTACTGGAACCCCCATGTCCACCCCCCAGGTTTTAGTAGATTCCTATTTGTTCTTCAGTACTGAGTTTAAACTATGTATCAACTCCCTGAGAACCCCTTTGTGACCCCAGTTGCTGGTCCTCACTGCTCCAGCTGGCCCAGTCTGATTTAGAAGTCCTTTGCTGCTCCCCCACCTCTTGTAAATGCCATTCACATCACCTTACACTGCCCAGAAAAAAAATAAGCTACATTTGTGAAGATCCACATCTTATTCAGCTTTTCTCTGCTCAGACATGGTCATTGGGGATATGAGCTTGCACAAGCTCCCTGTGCCTCAGTCTTCTCATCTATAAAAGGGGTAGAATGCAGTATATACCTGATAGGGTTTTTATAAAGATTAAACCAGCAAGTGGATGTAAAGTGCTTAGAAGAACCATGAGTTCTTGGTGTGAAGCATCTGTGATAGTAACGAATAAGTATAATCTTGAGTAAGTCAGGTACTCTAGACTGAATGCCTTCCATGAAATGGAGATAATTTTGTTTTTTTATATAATGATAGTAGGGATCAAAAAAGGCAACATAGTTGATTATGGTCCTTGGGGAGCTATAAAGCACAGTCTATAACTACCACTCTTGGTTATCCTTATCTAATAAGTGATATGAATTTTCTAAGCCAGAACTCAAAGAAGAGTTTTTAGTGGCTAATGCATGGATACCCAGGGCCTTCCCCAAGCCTCGGGCTTCTTCCTTAACTCTCCAACACTGGCCATAAAGGGTAAGGTATAGAGTTACACGGACCAAGAATGAGGGTAAGAGAATACAGACCCCACAGTTCTACACAAAACTGGGGTACTACCCACCTAAACAGAACACCGATGTCGACAGAACCTGGAACACTCAGGGGGGCCAGGAAATGCCATTGTTGTTGGCTGGTTCTGAGCACATTGTAAAATCTATGCCATTCAAGAGCCAGAAAGAATTTTTGAAATTCTAATTTCAAATTTATTCCCATTCTCTCATTATGGATGAGAAAACTTATGTCTATGGCTCCCAAGAAACTGCCCCCAAATCAAATATCAAGCTAGCGACCAACAGCTCTCACCTCCTGATCTGCAGCTTACAGGTTTATGTAAGTTTTGCTTGTAGCTCGTCCCCACTCCTACCTTACCGGGGCAGTGTTTAGGGACACACGGGCTCAAGTTCCAGTTCTGTCATTTATTAATTCTGTGCCTTTAAATGGATTCAAGGATTCAAATTTCAGTTTCTTCCTTGGCAAAATAAGGATCATGGTACCGCTTCTAAATAGTAACAGTTGCAATGTTCTTTAAAACTAAGCAATACATAAAGAGCATATTGTAAAACATCTCCTTTGAAAAAAGCATCTAAGAACTCCCATTTGTGATTTTTTTTTTTTTTTTTTGGTATTGAAGTGGTTAAAAACATTCTTCCTTCTGGCGTTTTAAACCTGGCCGCACCAGCATTCCCACTGGCCACATAACGTGCCCTCCTCCGTGGCAGCGGTCACGTATAGCGGGCTGTGTATAGTGGAGCAGTGTATAGCACAGGGCGGCACTATACCTCATGTTTGCTTTCTCACCTCTGCCCCTCTCCCACTAGGTACCGCCAGGCTGCCAGAGTCAGCTACTGCTTTATCCATCCTTCTGTCTTTCTGCCCAACTGTTGCTCCAAGGGTACGTCCTGTCTGCAGACAGCTCCCTTTAAGAGCACAAGATAGAAACTGCTCCGAGGGACCAGAGCTCTGTCTTCCTCTAGGAAGTCCTCTCGTCCAGGTACCTGGCTCCTGTCTCCCTTGAGCAGCGTCCTTCTGCTGTCCACAAGCCCCTTAGAGGCTCACTCGGCCATCAACTTCTTGCCCTCTGATACCTGTGTTTATCAAAGCTGCCGAACTGAACCCATTTCTGAAGCTGGGTCTGGCAGCCCCCCCCCCCCCGCCGCCCCCCAACGGACGCCTAGCCTTCCTTTTGGCAAACCCAGGAACCAGGCCCGGCCTCTACCCTAAGGACAACAAAAACTTGGCTGTTTGCTTTCTCCGGGGCGACTCAGTTCCCAGGTCCCCAGGGGGCCCAGCGTGGTTCGCCTCTGGGGCGGGGGATGCGTCCCAGGAGGATGCACAGGTGGGGACAGCCCTCAGAGGACACAGGGCCCACGGCGGCGGCGGCGTGGCTGGGAAGGCACGGCGGTCCTCCGGAGCCTGAAACTCTGGGTCCACATCCTCCCTTTGCCCCCCAGCCCCCGAGACCCAGGATTCTTCGATGGGGCAGCAGGCGCTTTTATCACGGCCCACTGTTCGCCACCCCAGACATTCCGGAGACCCCCTTGCCAGCTGGGGTTACGCTCCTTGTGGTCTCTGGAAGACGAGGCAGCGACAGGCACCCTTATACTCTCAGTCAAGGGCGATGGGTATGCGGTGGAGAAAGAGCAAACTTCCAAAGTAGAAAGGGGGAGAAGCCTGCACTCTTGCGGGGTCTCCCCAAGCCCTTATCCGGGAGAGGAACGAGGACGCCCGGACCCACACCTCCCCGTCCGAGCTCCGGGCGGCATGTTACCCTCATTATCACCCCGTGCGCACAGCAACCGGCGCGTCTTTCCTAACCCGGCCGCACGACCCGCTCGGGATCCGCGCTGGCGGCGAGAGGGTGCGCGTGGTGTCCTTCCCGCGGTCCCCCGGCGGTCCGCTCGCCCCGCAGCGGCGCAGGGCGGCCCCCTCCCAAGTCCCCGCAGGCGGCGTGGGCTGTGCGCGCCACCTCCCACCGCCACAGCTCGGGGCCCGGGCGGCTCACCAGATGGCCATCCTGCTCTTGGGGTAGTCCAGCCGCTCCAGGCAGCCGAGGAAGTGAGGCAGCGTGTGCGCGGCGTTGCGGGCCAGGATGGCCACCAGCACCGTGGGTCTCTGCAGGGGCGACTCGGGGAAAACCCTCGCCTCCTCTTCGTCGTCCTCCGAGTCCGGCTCGGCTGCAAAGCGCGCCCGGCAGCCTCCGCGGAGCAGAGCCCAGGAGAGGAGCAGCAGCGACCAGGCGAGGCTGGCGGCGGGGCTCGCAGCCATGTTCAAGGCTGGGGCGGGCTGCGGGGGACCTGCAGCGAACGCCGAGCTGGGGGATGCGGCTCGCCGGGCCGGGGGTGCGCGCACACCGGCACCGGCCTCGGCAGCCCCGGACCCTCCCGCTGCCGCTGCACCGCCCAGGCCCTGACGCGGGGGGCGCACCGTGTACCTGCCGCCGCCAGGGCTCGCCCGGGGCTCAGGCTTGCAGACAGCCGGCTCTGTAGGGCTGTTTGTCCTCAGTCTTGCGGAAAGTTCCTCCAGCCCAAGCTCAGCCTGTACAGCTGAGGTCTGTGGCTTCCCCCAGAGCCGTGAGGTGTGGCCCTGTCTGCCAATGGGCGTGTGAGTGAATGTGTGTGTGTGTGTGTGTGTGTGTGTGTGTGTGTGTGTACGTGTACACATAAGGGTACAACTCCAAGAAAATTTATTCTGCTTTTGCAAACCGCAGTCTAAAGTCCTTCACAGTGATGCAATGTATCCCCTTTTTCATAATGCACCTATTGACTAAATGGGTAGAACTCTGAAATGGAAAGTCACCCAGCTCTTCGTTACTGTGATAAATTTTTTTTTAACTTTCACAAAGGCAGAATGTTTGCATTTGCTCATACACTCAATTTCTCCTGAAGTTTATTCTTGACTGGGTAGACCTTGGATCTGAGCAGACCAAGTTTGAAGACTTGGAGAATGTTACAGCCAGATGGAACCCCTGAAAGGAAGGGACAGGCCCCGTGGGATACTGTTCTGAATCCCCACTCTTCCCGCCAGGACAGGCAGCACCCAGCACAGATGGTTCGATTAGATAGTTTTCTTCTTCCCTAATGATCTAAACTAACCAAGAAAGGAAAAATCCGTGCATGTTGGAGGTGAAGAGATACAAGGAAAAGAAGGAAGAACACAATTAGCCTGTGAAATGAAATTGCTAAAGGACATTTGCTCTTGAGGATGACTCAGAGAAGACGGTGATGAAATCCCCAGCACCTTCATCATGGGACCGTGTAGGTTTTAATCAGTCATGAGAAAGGTGGGTCAGTACCACTGCATGTTCACGAACCACCATCCTAACTTGTCCTGCCGTCTTTCTACTAGTTTTATCCATCCTTCTCTGCAACTACAAGAAGCCTTCACCCTCAACTGCAACCACCTTGCTCCCTCTGAAGAGTTCACCTTCTTTACTGAACTTCCTAACGCCCCATCTCTGACTAACATCTCTACCAACACGCTCCTGCCTTGCAGGTGCCTGTCCTGACAGGGCCTTTAATCCCCTCCCCTCCCCTCCCCTCCCCTCCCTCCCCTCCCCTCCCCTCCCCTCCCCTCCCCTCCCCTCCCCTCCCCTCCCCTCCCCTCCCCTCCCCTCCCCTCCCCTCCCCCCCCTCCCCTCCCCTCCCCTCCCCTCCCCTCCCCTCCCCTCCCCTCCCCTCCCCTCCCCTCCCTTCTAGTCCAGGACTTTTCTCCATCATTTAGCTCTACTCTCCACTGACGCTTCAACTGGTTCCTCTCTATCCTTGCCCTCTTGATAAAAGCTCAGTCAGTCCTCTCTTATTCTTAATCATCTTTCTAACCCTAACCCTAACTCGAACCCTACTTGCTTCTGTGGTTCTATCTACCCGATATTCCAACCCCTTCATCCCCTCATAACCCCTGTTCTTTTCTTAAAACCTACTACTGAGTTCAAGGACATTTCTTTAATGAGGAGTTCCTAACTTTCTCCACACGCTTCCTTATCCTCCTTTTCCACCATAACACATACCACTTCATTATATTTATTTGTTTATGCGATACATGTTCATTACCCATGCATTTCCCATACCTGGGCATTGGCACAGAGTGGGCACTGAGTAAGTGCTGGAACCAATGACTGAATACAATTTTAGGGGCACGTCTAGTCTTAAGTGAGCCACAGGAGTATATTTCAAATTTGTTTTCCAATTGGGATTGAAAACCATATTTCTATAGTCACTATTTTCTGGAGTTCTTGAATTCAGGCCAGAGTGTAGACAAAGCTTGGACACTGGGACCAGGGAGGAGACGGAGAAAAAAGGAAGGGAGGAGGGAGGAAGGCAGGACTGGAGGAAGAGATAGAAGAGAACAGGAAGGACGTGTGAAATAATCCAGGTGTGACTACTCCTTCTATGGCAAAGGCTCCGAATTCAACGATTGAGTCTATTTTACTATAGGATAAAAATATGTTGAAAATGGGAAAGAGAGAAAATAACTATCCCAAATCTATGTCACCACGACCATTATTACCATTTGGGGATCACTTTAATTCGACATTTTCAACTTGAATATTTTCAATACGGGTTTGTACTCATTTCTCTTTAGTGAGACCCAACACCATGTTCATAACAAATGTTGAATAAATATCTAGAAAAAGAGGCGAAATATTTTGGGGGGATCCTGAATTGCTTTTGATGCCTTTTCATATTCATAAAGCCAAGTATTATTTAAGACTGCATATATATATAGCATGTCTGTCCATTTATTTAAGGTCTTCTTTAATGATCATCAATAACATTTATAGCACTCTTTGTAAAAAGCTTGCTGATCTTTTCTAGATACTTTATTTTTGTTGGTTTTCTTGTTTCAAACGTTAGCAGCATTAAAAAAAATTAAACATACTATATCCTGATTTTGTAAATGAGGAATTTAGAATACACTCCTAAACTTATGAAACATCAGAGAAAACATATTTTGGGTTATTTTAAATTCTTTCCTGCCTGATAGAAATCCCTTGTATACGCTCAGGCATATGAGTAGTAAAATAGTATAGCGTTCTAAATACTTTACGAAAGGCATAAACATCTCACCCATTCTCCTGGAAACACAGAGAATGTAAAATGGCATAGTTGGTGTACAAAAGAAGGAACAAGAGATACATGAACATTCTTACAAGCCATGGATTCAAAGCTGATCTGGAGCATGAGCCTCCATTTTCCAATGTGATTTCCTGAAATCACAGTCTTACACGACACTGAGTCAAGTCATTTTCTTTTGAACACACTAAAAATTCACATTGCAATTCAAAGTTTGTTTTTCCTCTTGGGACTCTAACTGAATTAATATGTCTCTGCCTAGACATTAGAGTTGTTGTTTTTTTTCTGAGGGAATAAGATGACCTGGCTCAGACATCAGGGTGGGAAATCAGTGGAGCAAGTGCCGGATTACACAGAATTTGATCACACCCACTTTGCTCAGAGGGACTTTGATTGTTGTTACTTAACTATTTTTTTCCTAACCACTTTGATTTTCTCATATAGTGAGCTACTGAAGCTTTATAAAAGAAGAAATCCTACAGTCTGTGAAAAGCTGAAACTCTAACCCATTCTCTGTGGATTACACTCTAGGTTGCCAGGGTAGTCATTTTGATTCGAGTATGTACTTTAAATACTAGGTTGTGTTTGTATTCCCAAGTCTTTTTTTTCCCCTTAGCCATTTCCAGTCATCAAGACTTATTAGAAATTTACATTGGTTAATGTGAAAGCCAAGAGACACTCTATTTTCATCCTTCAGTTATTTTAAATAGATATAAAAGTCAGAAGTATTTAACATGCATACTTAAGTGTATTGTGCTTTTTTGTGAGCAATAGAACATCATCTATTTGCCAAAGGGTCCATTAGCCTGTTGCCTTCTCAGTTTCCAGTTCTTTCCGAATCCTTCTGGGATTCTCCGCCCCACTGCCCCTTTTCTGCTTCAGCTTAAGCTAAAAACTTTCCCCTGAAGATGGTTGAGTCTTGTTCACATAGTACCTATTTCCCCTGGAACTTCTTACTAATTTATAAAACCTCCCATCTGCTCTCATTAGGAACAAAATGCTCATAATGCTTCTATAAATACCATCATATGCACTGATTGGAGGTCAGAGAGAAACATTCATTCACTTCTAATTACTTCAATTAATGTCAAGTTCAGTGCTTCAGGGAGTCTACTAATTTCAGTGCCATTTGCTTCTTTAGGTCTTAGCAGCTGCTCTGTGGAAACGAAGGTTAGTGATGATTCAAATGCAATACATTCTAGAAAAACTTATGAACCTATATGTGTGGCTTTACATCACTTTCAGGAATAGATGCTTTTCTTCTCCCTGGATGTAACATATTGCATTTCTTTACATGCATTCCAATTTCTTATATGGCTTTCAACACTTTGACTTCAGCATGGACTTTGTTGTGTTTATTTTACTTGGTGTTCCTTTAGCATTCTGTACCTGCAAAGGCTGTCTTTCATCAAATCTGCAGAAATTTTTTATTCTTCAATTTTTCTCGCCCCATTCTTTTTCTTTTCTCCATCTGGCATTCTATTTATATGTGTGTTGGAATGTTAGATAACATGTAGTAGGTCTGAGGCTGTGTGCATTTTTTAAGAATCATTTTTCTCTGTCTTGTTCACCTCGGATGATTTCTGTTGCTCCACCCTCAAGTTCACCCCCCCGCCCCCTCTGTAATTCGGCTGTTAAACTCAGCCAGTGAAACTTTTTATTTCTGAAATTTTAATTTTCAGTTTCATAATTTCTATTTATTTTTTTCTGCTCAGTATTTCTATATGTAGCCTGGGATTTTCATTCCCTGAAAATATGTTTTATTTTTGTGCCTTGAGAATAGTTACAATAGTTACTTTCAGATCCTTATCTGTTGTTTTTCAAGGGTTGGCGTGTAGAAAATGTGATCCATTTTCTTGTTTTTCATATGTCAGTAATCTTGCAACATATCTTAGACTCTATGATTGATAAGTTGTGGAGTGTTTCAATTCCATTTTTCTATGATCAGTTTTTCTATGTATTGGTAGGTAATTTTCTTGGCTGGATTTGAACTTCCAACTTTGCTTGTTTGGGGACAGCTCTGGTCTCAGATCTTTTTTTTTTTTTTTAAATATTTTATTTATCTTTAGAGGGGAAGGGAAGGAGAGAGGGAGAGAAATATCAGTGTGTGGTTGCCTCCCGTGTGTACCCTGACTGGGAATCGAACCGTGGTTGCTTGGTTCCCAGGCCCGTGCTCAATCCTCAATCCACTGAGCTATGCTCAGATCTTTTGTTTTTAACTGAACCGCTGTGACTCTGTTTCAAGTGGTTCAGGATCTGTAAGAGATAAGAGCAGAGAGTTTGGGGATCCCCTCTCTGGCTTCTTCCCTCTGGGATTTCCTGAGTCCTTATGCATGCAAATTTCCTTCCTTCACTTTTGCGGCTCCCCAGATAAGAAAAACAGAGAGGTTTAGCTAGCTGCTCTTCCTACCAAAATCAGCCTACTTTTGTTTGCATCCCAGTAAGTATATTTGCTTTTTGTCTGATATCCAAGTTTTACCGATGTTTTCTATGGGGGGGTAGTCCAGTAGAGTCTTTGTTGTATTTGGAAGCAGAAGTTCTCTCACTGCCTGGGACTTTCAATCTTGAGAGTCATTTCTTGCACAGGTCAATGCAATGGCTTCCTAACCATTCCCTTTGTCTACCTCTATAATGCATTTTCAACACATCAGCCAGAGGGATACCATTAAACGTTAACAGCAACTTCCAGGGTCTCCCCATTTCGCTCACAGTAAATCCATTAATGCTTACAATGTCCCCCTCTACCTGATTGAAATTCCCCATCCTTGGCTTCCTGGTCACATGTTTCTGCGGGGTTGCACCCACTTTTCTGACCACTCGTTCATCAGCTCCTGTTCACTCTTGCTCCTCTAATCCCAAAAGGTGAGTCCACCCAAAAAATACTGTTCTTGGCACTCTGGTCTTTCTTTTTTCCACTTTTCTCTATGGACATTCACCCACTTCTACACTTGAAGATTAATAATAAGGCACTGAATGAGGCTCTTCCTATTCCCTAGAACTGGAGACCTGGACTCAATGTTGAAGGCAAAGAGGCCTTATGTATTCCCTACTTTCCCAACAGAGCTGCAAACAACGCTGATGTGAGGAAACTTCTTCCCTCTAGTATCTGCTTAGATCTGAATAAACGAGAGTAAACCTGGAGTGCGTTAGGGCAGGTTCTAGCTACCTTTGTTAGGTGGGGGCCGAGCTGAGCCCGGCCGCGCAGAGGCAGCGAGCGGCTAGGAGGCGGAACCCTTGGGCGCGCGTCCCTGCTTCTGGCCGGGCGCGGGGCGCGGTGCACAACGTGCGCGCACCCCTGCCGGCATGGAAGAGCGCGGCGATTCCGCGCCGGACCCGGGCTGCAGCGGTCTGAGACCCGGCGGCGCTCTCGGCGGCGACGGCGCCCACCCATGGGCCCCGGAGGACTCCTGGATGGGCACGCACCCAAAGGTCAGGAGGCGCCAAAGGAGCGTGGCGCCGGTCCAGGCCCCCCACCCCGGGCACAACCCCCACCGCGCGCTCCCCCCTCTAACCCTTCACCCCTGCAGGGCCTGGTCGCTGTGTTCGCGAGACCCTCGCGGAAGGCGACCCACGTGCACACTGCCAAACTGCAAGCAGTATTGTTTTCGTTTGTTTCAATGAGTTGAACTATTGCTCGGACACTACCCCTTACTCCCATCGCCATTTTTAACCGCAGGTGGAGACAAGCACGGCCCCACTCAGGTCGAAGGCCAACAGTAGCCACTCCACTAAATGTCTGAGTTTGGCTTGATTTGGAGAATGGTCTCGTTTAATCCTCACACTGACCACGCAGAACAGATTGTGGGCGGTAGATAAGGTCTGGGAGTCTGTAGTGATAAGGGTTCGGGCACTAAGCCGTGGGTCCAGAGTGAGTGTGCGTCTTGATTTTGCTGCAGTGCCAGATGCCTAATTTTTCGAATTTCTTGGGAAGTTTGAATTGGTTGTTCCCCAAAGCAGAACTTCTCACATTGTGTGTTTTTCTGTATTAGCGGTAAGGGAGAAAAGGATAGTTCCTTGCTTGCTTCTGCTTGGCAAATTGCTCCCTTATACCAGTACTGTCCCTGGCAATGAATGAACAGTGAAAGGGGATGGGGACTTTGTAGGAATCTGGGGGACTGGCCTAGTAACTTTGGTAGAATTGCAGTCTTCTGCCAAAGAGCAATATTTCTTAGGTAATCATCTAAAAACAGTCAAGAAGAGGAAAGTTTTGAAGACATAAGCCTGAAGAGTTAATCCCTTCCCATTTTTTCTTGCTTAATGTTACCCTCCTGCTCTGTCTCCTTAAAAACAAACAATAACAGGGAGATGCTATTCTGTTCCCTAAAATAAAAAACCGAAACATGGAGAGGCAGCGTAGTGGTTAGGAGCATGAACTTGAAGCCACATTGCCTGGGTTTGAATCCTGGTTCTGTGACCAGCTTTGTGTATCTTGTGCTTCAGTTTTCTCAACTGTAACATGGGGATAACAAGAGTACTTAGGTCGTAGGGTTATTTACAGGATTAAAGCATTTTGCATATAGTAAGCACTATGTAAGTTTTTAAAAAGTGAAACACCACTAACAAATGTAAGAAATCTCATCTGTAATTTGGTGCTACTATTCAGTTCTATTACTTGCAGACTTTTTGTCTTTGAAGTTAATGACTATATAGGCTCTGCTTTCTATTTGTTCTCCTCTTGAAGGATCTAATTGATTTTTTAAAAAGAAAAGATACTGGACGTTTGGTTTTTCCACTTCTGCCTTTTTGTTATTCAATATGAAAATTACTTAGGTCCATCTAGTTACATGGTATCAGATTTATCACCTCAAACACCTCTTGCATCAGATTCTGCTGCTTAGAAGTCCCCAGTGTTTCCTTATGGGTAAAATTCAGACTTTCAGCTTGGCTATCAAGGCCTTGCAGCCTGGTCCCCAATTACTTTTTTGTTGCTGTGGTCAAGCACATGTGAGGTTTGAGGAGGACAACTAATAACACCCCTGCTCTCCTCCTGCACCTGTCCACTTATGATGAAGCCAGCAGGAGAATGGGACTTCAGGTATGTCCCCACGCGGGCCAGTCCCTCACCTCTGCATTAGCCCTGCTTACCCACCTACTCACTGATGTAGCTGGGCAACAACAACCTCAGGCTTTCCCTGCAGGAGAAGATCCTTGAAGAGTGTTCCCTCAGTGCTGACCAGCAAATCTGAAAGCAGCAGTACCTTGCTTGATCCTTTCCTTAAAATGTAGCAATTAATTAACTCCTACTCTTGAGTGAGAAGGAGAGAGAGAGAGGCCAGGAGTGGTATTCTAGCAGACTTTCTCCATGTGCAAATAGGATACCAGGGGAACACAGGCTCCTAGTAGCCCCAACGAGAATGTAATGAATGATGTCTCTACTCCTGGCAGATAGATTTCCTTATGGGCCTTTGAATATGTGTGGCTTAGTCCCCGCTTTGTGTGATTAGTGACACTGTTGCTGTGACTGTGCTGTTTATTCAAATCATGCATGTCCTTCAGGGCCCATCTTGAATACCAGCTCTGCCATAAACATTTGCCAGCCAAGCCACCTGAGCGTAGCTCCTCTGAGCTGTTGGGATGTTTTTCTTAATTCTTACCTGAGGACATAGTTATTGATTTTAGAGAGAGGGGAAGGGAATGAGAGAGAGAGAGAGAAACATTGATGTCAGAGAGAAACATCAGTTGGTTGCCTCTTGTAAGTGCCTTGACCAGGGACCAAACCCACAACTTAAGCATGTGCCTTGACTGGGAATGGAACCCATGATCTTCCAGTTTATGGGACAGTGCTCCAACCAACTGAGCCACATTGGCCAGGGCTCTGTCATGTTTTTTTTAATTCTGCTCACTTGATGTTTAAATCACTTTCTGTCATGTATAGTTATTTGCTTAACAGTTGCAAGTAGGCAATGTGTTTACCCTAATAATTCCAAGTTTTTTAGAGGCAGGGATGAGGTCTTTATATTGCCTTGTAAATCCCACTGTATCTAGTCTGGAGTTTTATACATTATATATATTTAATAAATAGTCATTGAGTGAAAGAAAATATTAAAATATTCTTCCCTGTTTAACAATTACATTTTGATTTTCAGTATTTAGAAATGATGGAATTAGATATAGGAGATGCTACCCAAGTCTATATAGCATTCTTGGTGTACCTGGACCTCATGGAGAGTAAGTTTTTGTTTATATTGCTTCATTATTGGGGCCGTGGTAGAAGGCTGGGGAGTTGGGTTTGGCTGTAGCATTGTTGACATTATAATAAGCCATCATTTATGCATTTGCTGTTAATGTCATCAGTCTTGTAATGTCTTCATTTACATTGGAAATTACTGGATAACAAAATAAGTAAAAGAGAAGGTAAATTAAAATATAAAGAGAAGATAGTGTTGTAAGAGAGGTTTGCTCAGCTGAATATTAGGTAGAAGTTTAGGATTTTTATCTTTGATTTTTTGTAAACATTGTTCACTTCCTGATGCTCTTGCAGGTAAAAGTTGGCATGAGGTGAACTGTGTGGGGTTACCAGACCTCCAGCTCATCTGCCTTGTCGGTACCGAGATAGAAGGAGAAGGGCTGCAGACCGTGGTGCCGACATCCGTCAGTGCTTCCCTCAGCCACAACAGGTGAGCAGGTGACTGTGGCCTTTGTTCCCGGGGTGTTAGTTCATTGCGCTGCACGCCGTAAACTCACTCAATGTCATACGTCAGTTGTATTCAGTTTTTTAAAAAAGAAAGCATGATGGAATGGGAGTGGATGAAAAGGATGATCTACTAGAGGGAATAGCAATTTATATTGATTTTATATCAAAGATAACATGCTAACTTTGATGCTTCATTGTTAGAAACAAATTATTTTCCATCCACTGCACAACCAGTCTGAGACACCAGTTGTAAACTGTTACCCTAGACTGTGCTGCTTAGCTGTTTGAGTACAGTGGGGCTTTTTAATGTTCTTTAGTCCTCAACAACTTTACACAACATCTTTATGACGAGGGAGTTTGGGTAGTATACAAAGCCAGACGAGTCAGCATTTTGCTGGAAGGGCAAGTTCATGTTATTTCCACAGGGCTTATGGCATATGAGGCATGATAGCCGTCCCCGCCATTGAAACCCGAGTGTGTAGAACCGGACTAAACTCTGTCATTCACATAGTTAACTTCAACTGAGTCATAAAATATTTCCCCTGTGATGACAATAAATAATCTCACTGTATCCTAGTTTAAAACCACTTAGTGGCTATCTCGACTATTGAGTGACACAGTGGCTTGCCATATATATATATATTTGCAGACTCCTTACAAGGTAACAGTTCTAGCTAACATTTCACATTACATCTGAATTTCTAAGATTGACCGCACAGTTTTCATATCCGTGTCCCACTTACTGTCCCGGGCTTTGCACCTGGTGATCTTATTCACTGAAAATGTGTGGTGCCGGCAGGAGTGCGGATGGAGTCCGTCATCGTTGTGCGGCTCTGTGTGACAGAGCGGCTCTGTGTGACAGCGGCCGGGGAGAGAACGAGATGCTCTGAGCAGACGTGCTTTGTGATGGTGTCTTCTGTGCGGCACTCATACCTCACATGGGCTCAGAGTGGAAACACTTGGACATAGCTTTCAAGTCTCAGAAGGTCTGTCGGGTAGAAGCTGGTGTGGAGTGAAATGAGTGACATCACCAGGTCCCCAGCTCCTCCGCCTTGTCGCCTTGTCGGTGCTGAGCTAGGGGAAGGGACGCAGACTGTGGTGCTGATGCCATCAGTGCCCCCTTGTGACAGTATTGGCTGAATACTATTCGCTGGTCTCCGGTGGGAGAACAGAGTTGGTAAAGTGCCCACATCCAACTGTCTGGTGGGAGAACTGTGCTGATGGAGAGTGAGGTTGTGAATGTTTCTCTAAGGACATGATGCATCCCTTGTTCTGTCATCTAAAAATGCCACTTCATGCTCATGTAAAATAACTGCTAGGTCACATTTAAACAGATCGTATTAAGTTATGTGTTTGTATTGTACATGCGTGTGGAGGGTCCTCTAGATTGTTTGCTACTAAAGGGAATCTGAGAATCCAGGCAGCTCACTTGGTAGGGGACCATAGAGGTGGTGGACACTGGTTTCCCCAGACCCAGCACTGGCCTAAAATCGTATTGATAAGTTCATAGAGGCCAGAGAGCTCTGATTAGGATGAGACAAGCAGAGGAACCCCAATGAATGCCAGGGCCATTTTCAGTGCTGAAATCGCAGGCAAAGCCAAATCTGTGTTCTGAGAGCCGGATTAGCATCTTCAGGCCACCCCGCCACTGCCCCTCCTTCAGTGCTCCTGACTGGGAGGGGCTGTCACAGCAGAGTCAGGGAGAGAGGGTCTCAGGTTTCTGTGATAATATTAGCATCACAGTAGTCATCAATGGGAAAATGTTTTAGTAACTCACACAAGGACCTATAGCAAATTACGAGGAAAATGCATTTCTGTTTTGTACTCCCTTTTTTTCCCCGTTGGAACCTGTGTTGTATCCCAATTGCAATGTCAGTTCAGTTTCTTTGGTAATATATGAGAGAGAAGCTGAAAACTAAACCGCAGTTGTTGTATTTTAAGCTTATCTGTGTTTATACATATTTTGTTAATTTTTAAAAAGCTGTGTGAAGTGTTTTGTAAATTATAAAATCCAGAGACAGCTAACAACTGTTTTTTAAAATGATCTGCAGACCTTTTTTTGTAATGCCAGTGAATCATTCACCCTGTTCACCCTGACTGCATAATAAAGGGCCCTTTCATCCTGGCAAAGGAGAGTAGATAGCTTGTGTGGGGGCGGAGTCCTCCACTGGCCATTTTACACCCGGGGTCCCCAGATGGGTGGCGTTTCTTTTGATTTCTGGTGATGTGTGGGTACTTCAGCCATTTTATCCGAGAGAAAGCTTTCCCCTTTCTTAGCATCTTCCAATCTGAATATTACTCTAGAAATTTAGAAAAAGGCTTCAATATTCCATATACCAAATTGGTCACTTGCTAATTCAGCAGCCCTAAGGCTAAAAAGCCTTAAGACTCTTGTCATTTGTTTGGTCAGGACTCTCTTGGCTATACTATTACCCCTTACTACTAAGTGGTCCTCCCTTATAACACTTATCACATTTATTGCTACTGAGTATATTTCATATATTTCATATATATATATAGTTTACTGTCTTCCTTCTCTGGTAGAAAATAACCTTGAAAGCAGGAACTTTGTTCTCTTCATTGCTGTTTCCCCAGTGCACAGCCTAGTACCTGGTACTTGGTGTTAAATCAGTGTTTGTTGAATGGCTAAACGTGCTCTCTGAGACTGCTAGGTTCCTGCGGTGGAGATTTGCTAAATCAGATCTTCAGGAAAACAAGGATGTGCTCGAGCAGTCTTCTAAGAGTTTCATAAAGATTAGAATGTCTGCAAAATCCATCTGCTGCAAGATCTATCACTGTTTCCCACACTTTACACTGTAACTGAACTACGTTACCGAGGAAGGAGAACAGTGACAATGCCCCTTGACCTTTTAGAGAAACTCTTTTTCATCCATGCCGCCCCCCCCCCCCCCCAGTGTCTGGGGAGGAGGACTCAATAGTGGTGGAGTAAGGGGCTGCTGGAACTGACTGATTTTCTTCTTTAGAACGTTTTTGAAACTTTTCATTGTTTTAAATTGAGGTATAATTGACATATAACATTAGTTGCATGTATAAACATAATGATTCGATATTTGTATACATTGCAAAATGATCAGTGCAGTAAGTCTAGTTAACATCATCACCTTACGTAGTTACAAAAATTTTTTTTCTTGTGATAATTACTTCAGTATCTACTCTCTTTGCAACTTCCAAATGTGCAATATAGTATTATTAACTGTATTTAGAACCTTTTAAAAGATGTTCTTAATTATGCAATTTATCCTGAAATGTGATAATTTTTTGAAGGATACTTTATTCATTATTTCCTTGTAATTGAAAAATATCTCCACTCTTTAAAAGTAGATTCTTTATTACAAACTCATTTAATGTCTGTTATTTATTTGAGGCCTAGTTTACTAACCGGTAAAATGATCTCTGTCATTTGACTTCCCTGCGTGTCCGAGGCTTATGTTGCCTCTGTTGGGAGTCCAGTGCTGGTGAAATCCCCAATTCTGGCAGCTTCTCTCTTTCTCTTATCCTCTGCACCCTCATGCACATGCACATGCACATGCACACGCACACACAAAGAGCTTGCAGTTTATACAAGCAGAATGGCTTCCCACTGGGGCGAGCGGTCACACAAGCGCCTAATTGTTCAACAAGCCCCCCTTGGAGTTTAGCCACCTTGCTTCTTTACTAGGAAGTCCCTGGCGAGATTCCCAAGGAGGCCGTCTGTTATCCTTGAAACTTTTCTTCAGGAATGAGATGAATACAGCTTCTTGGGCACCGGTCGAAATTTGCCTTGTGTTTTGGAGTTGGGTTGTGGAGTGTCCTAGTGAAATAATACAATGAGGCCAATCAAGGAGTTGATGTCTTTAATTGATGAGCGTACAGCATGTGCCAGTTTGGCCGCACCAAAGAAGACAGAAGGAGCGAGTGCTTCCTGGGGGTTGAAATTCATAGTAATTTTAACCCATGGTGCGTGCTGTTTCAGCAGCATTTGAAGTTAACAGTAGCGCTGCCATCAACCTTCTCGTCGTCTGTGTGCGCCTCCACGTGTGCCGAGGTCCCTCGGGCTGCGCTGAAGGGCCGCACAGAAAGCTGGACGCTGGGACTTGCAGAAGGCGCGTGGGAGGAGGGGCGGTAGCCACACAGTGTTTCCTGTCTGTCTGCCGCAGGCGTGCTCAAGTCAGCTTTATTGAACTTTCAGATCTCTGTTTATAGCGTGCTGAGCGCCTCTCTGAACAGCTACGGAAAGAAAAACCTGTTGCAAACATCAGATTCTGGTACATTTGAAACAACCGATTATTACTGATTTATCTTTCTTCAAGTGGGGTTTTTCTCTTGAAATGTAATAAACTAAAAATATGAAATTCTTATTGATACATAGGTTGTGTTTTTCATAAGTGGTTTATACCAAATATGAACTATGAACAATTTTATTATCCAGATTACTACTATGGATTTGTGTGATGAAACATCACTACAATATTTTTCTAAATAACTGAGCTTTTAAAAAATGTGCATATAAGGAAACTTTGTTTTATGATTTCTGATTTCACACTGTAAAGTTGTTGGAAGGTATGTGAGATTATAGTATTTTAGTGATTCTTCGTTCTCAGCATCTTTACTGTCAGTGTGATTTTTAAAATAGAACATTGGAAACTTGTTGTTATTATTGTTAGATTGAGAAAGCAGCACAGTCTGTTGACTTAAAGGAAGTGCAGACATTTTAAGGAGTTTATCACTATCCTATAAATGGGAAAGACAACGGCCTTGCTTTAAAAGTCTGTTACCAGTAGGCGGGGAGAGCCCGGAAGGTCTCTGTGGGACTTCGCACGTGTGCTCCGAGCACCAGAGGCAGGTCGACTGCTTTCGCGCGTTGTTACCAGAGGGTTCCCTGGTGTCCCTCCACCCCCGCCCCAGACCCTTCCCAGGCAGGACGTGCGGCTCAGAGATGGGAGGTTCCACTTCGTTTTGGGCGGTGGTTTCTCTCAACTCGGA